GTGGTGCAGTGGTTACACTCAGCTAACTTAAAGATCAGAGGTAAACTCACTAGTCACTCCTGGGAGTTGGGGCAGTCTGTGCCCATCGAGAGTGATCTTGGAAACCCTATGAGACAGTTCCTTCCACTCTGTCCTACAGGACTGGTACGAGTCAAACACACTTGATAGCAGGACAAATGAATGCATCCCAAGAAACTGTTAAGAGGAAGCTCTGGTGGCCTAGAGGCAAGAAGCTGTGCTGCAATCCAAAAGGCACATGGTTTGAATCCATCAGATGCTCCACTGGAGAAGGAAGGGTAATCTTCGGTGCCAGTTTGATCTGATTCGACGGTACACAACCAGGAAAAAAAAGGAAATTAAGTGGTGCTGTAATGACATGGTGGTTACATAAAAATGCCTATCAATGTAACAAGAGGTGAATCGTGGAGCAGGCTGGTGGGGGAGAGAAAATGTGCAACAATAAATTTTAAAAAATGACAGTATAAAAAAATGCCTATCAGGTGAGCTCTGGTGGCCTAATGGCAGGAAGCTGCACTGCAATCCCAGAGATATGCGGTTCGAATCCACCAGATGCTCTGCTGGAGAAGGAGAGACAATCTCCTCCTGTATCAGTCAGATCTGATTTGATAGTAAACATAAGGAAAAATAATACAATTTTTAAAAAATTTTAAAAATGTCTATCAAACCTACACAAATTATGCCCAACTCATTCGTGACAGAAGTGTAAAAATGGTTCATTGTAGGAAGGGACAGCCTTTTTAAGAAATGGTGTTAGGGCAACTCCATGTCCACAGGCTCAAACTACACACTATACACAAACTCACACCTTACACAAAAATTAGCTCAAAACAGATCAGATTCAAGTGCAAAATATGAAAGCATAAACATTTGGGGGGGGGGGAAGCTAAGTTTCCAGGACCAAAAAAGTTTTGAGACTTGACACTAAAATGCATAATCCAAAAAAGGAAAAAACCAAGAACACCTCACCAAACCAGACTTCATAAAAATTAAAAACCTGCTCTGTAAAAAAATCTGTGGAATTAGGGAGCTCTGGTGGTCTAGTGGCAAGAAACTGCACTGCCATCCATCCCAGAGGAGCACGGTTCAAATCCACCAGACGCTCTGCTGGAGAAGGAGGGACAATCTCCTCCAATACCAGTCAGATCCGATTTGATGGTACACACACACACACACACACACACACACACCCCATAATAAAATTAAATTTAAAAAAATCTGTGGAATCAAAAGGGTAGTATTTGATCTAGTCAATTAGTGGAAAGGATTTGTACTGTTAACTAAAAGGTGAGGAATTTGAATATACCAGCTTCAGGAGGAAGAGGAATAATCTTCTGTGTGATTTACTGCCTCTGAAAATCCGCTGGAGGGTCAGCTATGAGCTGGTTCCAACGTCAAAGCTTACAAGGCAGAATGGGGTTGGGCTAATGGAAATGAGACTCACAGGGAACAGGAGGGAGTGTGGTTATAGTGCGAGTGTTGTAATTCATGTGACAATATGTGTCTGAATGGAAAACCAATTGTATCTGTAAACTTTTACTCAAATCGCAAAACCAAAACCCTGTGAAGAGGTTGAGCTGCAGAGTGGCTGTATTATTTGTAAACCTCATAACCAACAGTTCTTATGTTTAGAATAAATTTTTCTTTAAAAACAATTAGAAAATTGGTAAAAGACATGAATATTTAACCAGAGAAAGACACAAAGTTCTGTCACACACAACTATATACAACATTGTACTAGCCATTGCTGTTGTTTGCCATGGTGTTGCAATCAACCCACAGCTGACCCTCCAGTGGGTTTCAGAGGCAGTTAATCACAAGGGAGGAGACTGTTCATTCTTCTCCCGCAGAGCAGCTGGTGAATTTGAACCGTTAGCCTTCAGGATTACAGCGCAGCTTCTTGCCACTATGCCACCAAAGCTCCCTTTAGGGAAATGCAATCACCACAGAGATTATTACTACGTATCTACCAGAATGACTGAAACAAAACAAAAAAACTAACATCAAATATTAGTGAGGTTATGGAAAAAGTGAATCACTCATAAACTGCTAATTGTTGTTATGGACTGAAGAATTGGGACCAACTCATAACTAACCCTTCAATGGGTTTTCAGAGGCTATAAAATACATGGGAGATTACCCAGCTTTTTCTCAGAGGAGCTGCTTGTAGATTCAAACTGTGCACCTTTCAGTTGGCAGCATAACTCTCTATCTACTGTGGTTATAGAGCCAGCACTGGGCTGATAGAATTATTTATCTTGTGGTAGTAGTAAACACAAATCTACATGTGACATACTGCATAAAACTACACACACATACACGCACACAAATGAGTGCATGTCCCATCAGTCCTGCTGCTGTGAAGTCAAAGTCTAATTCACAGAGACTTGACAGGATGGAATAGAACTGCCCAGGTGGTTTCCACACCTACAGAGCAGCTGAGTGCTTAATCACTGTGCCACCAGGGCTCTTTTCATGAATGCAGGTGGACTCAGAATAGGGTTAGTGGATGCTACTTCTTTGGTTTTGAAAGTGCAATACAGCTAAGTTCAGTGCTACCACAAAAGGATGGGCGAAGGATGTATGGCCACGAAGGGATGGGCAAAGGATGTGTGGCCACAAAGGGAAGGGAGAAGGATGTGTGGCCACGAAGGGAGGGGCGGAGGATGTGTAGCCATGAAGGGATGGGCGAATATGTGGCAGGTCCTGGTACATTTTTTTTCTTTCAACTGTAATTACCTCAAAAGTTTATTAAGTCAAATACATACGGACGTATTTATCAACTGAATTATCAAAACCAAAATTTGCTATTAAAAATACTCCAGAATCAAACAAAAAACCCACCAACCTCCAGGTCAGGGGAAGAAAATAACAGGGGGAAACAGTGTCCTAGAACTGAAAAAATGCTGGTAACTACTGGAGCAGAGTGATGGATATATGCTGGTTTATAGTCTTTCCTCTCAGCTATGTATGATAATTTCCAAAATAACAAGTTTTACAGGGGTTCCATAGGAGGGCAGTCCACAGATTTGATCATCACTACAACTTATGAATACAAAGTTAAGTTTGAAGCTCATAACTGTTTTATTTACAAAGCTTTTATTATGTGCTTACAATCACATTTTTAATCTGTGTACTTTTTTCAGTCCAAAAAAATTCCCTATAGTTATAAAAAAATAGAAATTTATAAATATACAGAAGTATGCCATTTTTACACTATAGGAGGGTCATTATTTTAAGCTGTCAAATGATTTCCCAGACTCTCTTCCCTGGAACGGAATTACAGCAGTACCACCTCTGTCATCTCAATGACAGAGCCGCACACTTTTCCAAAGCCAGAGCCCACTTTCTCATTTAGCATGCCAGCATTCGACTCAGGCTAGTGCTGAACACATGAGGAGATACAGGAATGTTGGCTGGGATGATGGCTTCTGAGAGCGTGGAGAACAGCAAGCTGGGAAAAGTCTGGCCCGGAGTCTGCCATGGCTCAAACCTAGAATTATATTTAAACTCTTCAGGTCAAGAACCGAGGCACAAACCCCAGGGGTCAGCACAGGCCCAGCACAATGTACACAGGGCTGTTCCAGAATAAATGTTTTCAGGAGAAGAGTTTTGGGTCACCACAAACATGTATTTGGTCCAGAGTTGGGGAATACGATTCCGTCACCAGCATCCCTTCTTCAGATCAACAAGCAGCGCAAAAGGGAGGAACCGTCTGAGGGAGCAGCAAGGCCAGAGGAGCCCAGCTCCTGCTGTCCAGTCACCAAAATTCTCCATTTCTGAACATGGGGGAAAACTGAGAGATGAACCCTGACACCAAGCAGAAGGATGTTACCAAATTCTCAATAGGATGCAGCCTAGTGAATATCTTTGTTTTTGTGTTAAATGTCCAGGTGTGGCTGGTATTTTCCTTTCTTGATTTCACAATTTCTTCCTTCTCAGACCAGTCAGAATGTACCAACCAGGTTACTAAGAGTTTTTCCTTAAATCCTGCTTTCTGATTTATAGAACATCCAGAATGCCATCTCTCTCCAGGAGGCCGAGGTTTGCAGACCTGCTTCTGGAAGGAAAGCCCAGCTCCCCCAGAAGGTGAGGCTGTCTGCACCAGTCTTCCAGGAGCCCAGTCAGGCTGCTCAGCTTTTAGAATACAAGGCCAAGTCTACCTCTCTGCTACCCTGCATAATCTGTATCCTCTAATTTAAAATCGGGCTCTTCTACCAAGTAATGGCCTGCAATCTATCCACAGCTCCAGACTCCTATTGAAGAAAACCTCTTTTCCCAGGAGGGGCCAGAAGTTGGTAGCTCCCAAGCCCATTCCAAGGAGAGACAATCATGTGACAAGTCTCTCAGGGGAGCTTGCTGCCTGGTGTGTGCGCGTGCAGGCACCTTCGTCACGTGCTGATAAGGATCTGTGCGACCTGTGTGTCATTTTCCTCCACATTAGCATACCTAACCCCAGCTCTGGACTCTCCTCACTGAAGGTAAAGTCACTTCCCTCAGTTCAACACAGCACTGGGGATTCCAGGTGACGAAGCAAGGAAGAATGAGGTTCTGGGATGATAAAGTCCTATTACAAATGGCTTGTGAGTCACTGAAAGGTGTCCAGATGTGCTGTAGTAGAAACTGGGTTGTTTTTTGAGGAGTAAGCAAAGCAGGCAAAGAATCCTTCCTTTTCTTGTAGGAATCCTTCCTTATCTTCTAGGCCTCAAATCCCATGGTAAAAAAAGAAGTCACCAGCTGCCCACATTATTGCCTGGTTGATGAAGAAGCTTCATTATTATCTCTTAAATTCCTCAACCCAAACATCCAGTGACAAGAGGCCACCCTAATGTAAAGCTTGCTATTAAAATCAGGCCCAGTCACATCCCAGCAGCCTCAGCTCAGCCACGAGGCCGCCACCATTTTTTCTTCCCTCAAGTGCCTTTAATTCGCTCAGGAAGGTAGTGTCCACATCCCTGTGTAAGCCAGGCTTCCTTCTCAGCTCATGAGAGGGACCTAGAAAGAAGAGGAATCCATGGAGACTGCCTAGAGGGGGCTCCATCTGCTTCTAGGGGAACCATTCCTGGGCTGTGAGGTTTGGTCCCTGGGCTGCAGGGCACTCAAGTTTTAAGGAATATATGGAAGCCTGCAAGGAAAGGAAGAGGGACAAAACTTCTCCAGGGTGTGAACCCACTGGGGAACCCCTTGTTTCTGTCAAGGAGCAGAGAGGACTACCTCAGTTGGCCAGAAAAGCCTCTCTGGGCCCTCGCCTCCAACTCACTTCTTCCTGCGGATCTTGGGTTTCTTCACAGGCCGCAGATAGGGGTTATCAATGATGTTCTCCTCCCCATTCCGACTTCCTGACAAAGACTGGTTCTGCTGCAGGACAGATGCATTCTCCTTTTCGGCTCCAGAATCATCCTGAGTGAAAGCCAAAACAAAACAAAATACGAACAGAATAAGGAAAGAGTTCAGATGCCCAAAATAAGACTTACTAGTAGCATATTTTTCACTAAGAAATGAGAAGCCCAGGGACAATGTCTTTCCAATGTGCTCATCTCTGCACAGAAGAACAAAGACTAGGCAGTGGCTGGCAAATAGAAGGTAAGACTGACAGCCTTGACACAGTGGAGTCTGGAGAACCTCTTCACAGGGCAGAGACAACAGGAGGAATTGAGACCTGGGAGGGTTAAGGGTATGTCTTAGGAGGACAGAAGCCCAGCTCTACAGGATAATAAAGGAAAAGAGAAATGACCCTCAGTACTTCACAGAACAGAAAGCTAAAGGGTCAGGACATTTGCACAGGGCAAGACCTGGAGCAAAGACAATATATAAACACAACAAATTTCCTCCCAAATTGCTGGTACTTGCAACATCGTCCCAACAATCATACTGGAGCAGAGGCCAGAAAAATCTTTAGTCCTGAGGGGTCCCACCAAGACAAAACTAAGCTTGCAGGTCTCCTAACAAGTGTTTGAGTAAGGCTCCAATCAGTGACTCCAGACAGTGGGCCATGCACAGCAGGAAGCTTGCTCACACCCATGGAATTCTGGTAACCTAGTGGGTAAAGAGATGTGGTGCTAATACAAAGGCAGATGGTTTGAATCCACTAGCTGCTCTACAGGTGAAAGATGGGCAATCTCCTCCTGAGTGATTTCTATTTTCTGAAAACCCAGTGAAGGGTCAGCTATGAGTGGATGCTGACTCTGGCAAGGAGTTGAGTTTGGCCTACATCCAGAGATTTGGCTTGAGTGGATCTGTCTTTTTAACTAGGTTATTTTATTATTATTAATTTTTAATGAAAATTTAGAGAGAGACTGGATTTCCATTCATTCACTGTTGCACTTTAACTTGATTATTTTTAAAACCAAATTATGGCTAGGTCTCCGATGTGTTCTAGACAGGTTCTTTTCCCCTGTTTTCTAGGGCTGGACTGAAAAACAATGTCAATGATTTGGTTGTTCATGACTCTGTTAGTTATTATCCTTGTGATCTTGGGTAACTCCAGGTCCTTTATGGGTATCTATTCAAATGGGACAATATATCTGGTCCTGTTGTATAGTAACTGGTCCACAGCTCAAATATGAAGAAAGGGAGAAAAGAAAGGGGGTAGGAAGAGAGAAAAAAGGAAGTCATGAACGAGAGAGAAAAGAAGGGGGGGAAGGGATGATTTCACAGGGAGTGGTAAAATGTCATCAATTACCCCCCCCCAAGGTGTCCCTCAAAACAGATTAACCACAACCATTTTGAAAGGTCCACATTTACTCCCAAACACGGGAAGAGAATATTCTTATACAATGCTGGCAGGAAATACTTTTTTTTTTCTGGCTACATGTTTATTCAACACAAAACAATTCCCTCCAACTTTACTGAGGTGGCTGACCATGTCCACGACCAAATCTGCCTCTAAACTGGAATTCAGTTGCTGACCCAGCCCCAGCCTTGGCTTTCTTGTTGGCACCAGGAGGCACTGCACTCCGTCTGTATGTGTCTCTGTCAGCCTCCCCTCGAGTCAATCTTGCAGGTCGTTCACCTTCCAGACCTTTCGGTCGTGGCCTGCCAGTCTCAGGACGGCTGCGGCGCAAGGTGGCAGGAACAATTTCAGGACACAGATGAAGGTAATCACGTAGATATTGGATACCCTCGTTGGTAAGGTACCAGTAGAAATGTCTCCAGGGGAACTGTTCCTTCACATAACCTCGTGACGTGAGACTCTGCATGGCCTTCATGACATGAAGGTCGGGTACATTTTTATCTGCCAGTTCAGGGTGCTTTGGCATGTGGACATCCTTCTTGGCCACCATCACCCCCTCCTTAAAAAGGAGTTCATATATGGCAATCCGGTTCTTCTTGGGCATCAACATCTCGACGTTGGATGTGTCCCGGAAATAGACTTTTTTGAGAAGCATTTCACTAATATTTGGGCAGTCAACACAGATTTCCTGAGCACATACTATGTGCCAGCATTATGGAATACAAAGAATATAAGAAGGAACAAAGGGAAATCCATCCTTCTTTTCATTTGTGCAGGGGCTGAGGCAGAGGGGGATATGACTGGATTATTGGGGTTGTTTCTTTGGATTTAGCCATTTTAGGATAGGTGTGGTGTGTGGGGTCTGCTTTCCTAGGTTACTGACCTTGACCTCACCAAATGGCTGGACAGGAACATGCAAACAGTCTATCCAGTTTTGCCATTCTGCTAGGTTTAAATTGAAGAAATTCAGCTTTAGTAGCAGAAATCTGAGTTTCAACAACCAGCAAGAAAGACGAGAACAGTGAATGCAGTGCATGTGCTTGGGGCCAGAGGTTCCCGTGTCAGTCAGACTTACACCTGTAAGAAAGCAGCAGCGGCTGCAGTGGAGAACTACAGGCCCAATGTGAGACAGAGCTGGCCCGAGACGGCTGCCCCAGAGAGCCGGAGCCAGGGACCTTCGCTCAAGCTTGCTGGAGTACCTGAGGAGAGACATTATAACTGGAAAGACTAAGAACTTTGAAACATGGCCTACAGCCACTGAAGGTTATCAACTGAAGAGTCTGTGAGCATGCTTCAGAAGGTGTCCTGACAGAAATCATATCCTGTTGCCAACCTGAGTTATAACTTGTCAAATCATCTTACTAAATCCCTTAATCATGAGTTAAAAAATTCACGCTGTTGGAGACATGAATCCTACTTATGAGCGTATGTGAAATAATCACTTTCAGATAAATTTATGTATAAGGCCATAAAAGTGACATTATATAATAAAAAAATAACAAACATTCAGAAGAATAATGAAATGTAATATGAGGCAATCATTAAAGAGAAAAAAATATTTTACTATTCAATTTTTTAAATTTTTTTTTAAAATTATTATTTTGTGTGTGTGTACCATCAAATCAGATCTGACTGGTACAGGAGGAGATTATCCCTCCTTCTCCAGCAGAGCGTCTGGTGGATTTGAACCCTGTGCCTCTGTGATTGTAGTGAAGCTACTTGTCACTAGGCCACCAGAGCTCCCTTACATTACTATTCAATTTTTATTTTTTTTTTTTTATGAAAACATGATTTTGGAAACACTTATAAAGTTCACATGTATTCAGTATTATACCAATTAAATTTTAAAGAAAACACCAACAAAACCACCTTAATTATGTGTAATGAGCCCTGGTGGGATATTCAGTTAACTGCTGGGCGGCTAACTGAAAGGCTGGCAGTCTGAACCCGCTCTCTAATCCCAGAAAGACAAGGCCATCTCCTTCTGTTACGATGCATGACCTACTGTGGTGGGGGTGGGGCAGTGCTGTGTGTCTGAAGTGATCACTGTGAACTTGATTTTTGGTTCTGAGTACAGAAATGGGACAAGTATTATGGTGACATTTTTAAAACTGCTATGGCCTAAAAAAAGGCTTTAAATTAATTAGTAAAGTATGTCTGCCTTGAGCATTGTACTTTTTTTTTTCCCTTTTCTTCTCCCTGCCTCTTTTTAAACAGTCCCTCCGTAAGGCCTATCCACTTAGCTTTGTATCCAAAGACAAAATTTGTAGGTGAAAGGAGTTAGGAGTTAGCCTTCGTTACAGACTGGTTCATTTCAGGGTCGAAAATATGGAACGCTTCACGAATTTGCGTGTCATCCTTGCGCAGGGGCCATGCTAATCTCTGTATCGTTCCAATTTTAGTATATGCGCTGCCGAAGCGAGCACGAGCATTGTACTTTTTAAACAAATTACTATATGAGACAAAATCGACAACCTAAAAAGATGGATAGAAAGTCGGGTGAGTTTAAGATGATGGTGGCGAGAAAGATTGTAAAATAGTTGAACAGCTTGAAGAGTGTAATCAACGTCACTGAATTATACCCAAAGAAACTGTTGAAATGATTTATCTTTGGCTGTATATATTTTTACCCAAAAACTAGTTCTAGAAATCTGAGCATCTTTTCCTTATTTAGATTGTTGCTGAATACCATAGAGTTGGTACTGACTCATAGCTGACCCTCCAGCAGGTTTTCCGAGGAAGTAAATCACTTGGGAAGAGACTGCTCATCTTTCTTCTGCAGAACAGCTGGTGAATTTGAACCACGTGCCTTTGGGTTGGTAGTGTTCTCCAAAAGGAACTCTGGTGGCACTGTGGGTTAGGTGTCAGGCTGCTCACCACAATGTCAGCAGTTCGAACACAGTAGTTACTCCATAAGAAAAAGATGAGGCAGTTTGCTCCCATTAAGATTTATAACCTCAAAAACAACTATGAGATATCATTTCACCCCAGTCAAAATAGCAAAATTTAACAGAACAGCAAGCAACAAATGCTGGCGAGGTTGTGGAGAAACTGGAACCC